GGTATTGTTAGGAGAGTTGATCTTGCAGTGAGGTTCAGGGTGCATGAGGGATTAAAACAACGAGAACAGCAAACATTTCTCAATTTCTCAGTTCGTGGTTCTACGGCCAGGGGTGGGTTTGAGTCATGCTCCACCATGAATCAGCTGTGACTATGGCCACACCCCTTATTGTCTCTCTGCCTCAGTTTCTTTACCTGAACAACAGAGAAAACAATAGCATCAACTGCATAGGGTTGTCTTGAAGATTAAATGCATCAATATTGCACTAAGTAAGTGGTAGATAAACAAAATGTGAGTTTTTTACTTTCCAAACCACTTGACATGTGTTATCGCATCTCATCCACGCAGACAATTCCGGAATCCGTGTCGCGGGTGGGCGGCGATCCTGACTCCTGTCCTGCCGAGGAGACCACAGGCTCAGAGCGGCGAGGCGCCGTTCCTGACACCACACAGTCACTGGCAGAGCTGAGAATCGAATCCAGTCTGAAATCGGAGACAGCACATCACTTAGCTGGTCGGTGCTCGAGGGCTAAGACAGTTTTCTGGGGGCCTGTCTCGGGAGCAGAGGTGGCCAACTTTCTGCATTATTGGCAGTGAGGCCACCTGCATGCAGGGGAGGCTGCGTCAATGCTTCAGACGGGCAGCCAAACTGGGTCTGGAATTCGCTTCTCAGCCATGGTCTCCAGGGACCGCTGGTCTCCAGCAGCGAGACGACAGCCCCCGCTTTAAGGTTTCCTGCCAGCGCCTCCTGCGACCGCCTGGGTCTGGAATAAAACCTTTGCAGCTGCTGTGGCATTTCCCCACATCACAGGTCCTGGCCAGCCTCGTCTACTCCGCACGCTCGTCCCTTTTGCATCTGTCTCTGAAACATCCCGGTTTTGTGTTGAGCAAACCTAATGTGGTTTCAACCTCTTAACAGCTCTAGGCTTTGTTTGTGTCCATCAGAGAGAAGTTGGTGCTCTGTCATCAACACACGCTGACATAGGTGAGGGTTCAAGCTGCCTCCATTTTATACTTAAGAGTGTGTGTGCATGTGTGTGCACACGTGTGTGTCTGAGTGTGTGTCTGAGAAAGGGTACCTTCCCCACTTTATAGGTATTTTCTCTTCACATGCATCCACACACACGCACATGCACAGTATACACACACATACACACAACACACATGTACGCACGTGTGTGCACATACAGATAACACATACACAGGAATGTACACACACACCTTATTGGTCGATATTCTCCCCTCTTGCCAGGCTGGGTAACTCACAGAGATTTCCTCCTGGCAATTTCACTTCCCCCCGGAGGCACCCTGCATTTTGGACTGTACAAAGGCCCTGTACACGGGCTCTCGGTGGGTTTCAATGGTGGATTAACTTCACCAGCAAGGTTGCTGTCAGAACATAAACCAGGACTGAAGTGGGGAGTTTGTGATGGGCCCTGGAGAGGGGTGCTCCTGGAGGCGTTCTCCCCGGCAGCTTGAGGAGCGGCCCCTCCCCCCTGTTTTGCTGTCGATCTCAGATCAGCGTGGGAAAAGGCAACAGAATCATGACTATGATGCAAAAGGAAAACCCGAAGATCCAGAGGCCTTAGATTTGGTGGAAAAAGGACAAGCAGAGAGGTGGATGGGGTGGAACTGAAGCCACTGCTTTCAAGGCTGTGGGCTTGGGATTTGTGCACAAAAGTCTAAGCCGGGGTTTCCAAGAAGCCTCAGCCTCCCCTTTGCCATTGGGGGGTGAAGAACGTGGCCAACTTGTTGGGTCTGGGTGGTTCGCTGAATGAAACCTGGGAAACATTCCAGTTCTCCCTCCGCCCCCCCCCCCAATTCTGTTTTCCTTAACAGTCCTCCACCTGGTCCTGTGGACGTGATCTAAGTATACCTGACCCTCCTGACTCCTTCCACCACTGCCACTCAGAGCAAGCTGCTCCCCCGCCCCTCCTCTGCAGCGGCCTCCCCGCTGGACTGTGGTCCACTCAGAACTGCAGCCGCGTGGTTCCTTCACAAGGCAGGTCTGACCATACTGTCACATCCTTTCCTCACCCTCCTCCCACTTGGAATACTTCATGAGCTCCTTGTCACTTTTAGGATAAAGATCAAAACTCTTAACAGTCCCCATTTAGTTTTGAGCACTTCCAGGCAGCATCCCGCCGCCTTCTCCAGCCTGGGCCTCAGCTCCAGCTTCTCACTCTCCATGGTCCCTTTGTCCTCCTCTGGGCCCTGGGCCCCCCACCACCGGGGCACTGCCTAGGGTCTCATTTCCCTTGGTTACCAGCTAGTGGTCCTTCAGCACTGCCTCTGGAGCAGAGGTGGCCAACTTCCTGCATTATTGGCAGTGAGGCCATCTGCACGCTGGGGAGGCTGCGTTAACGCTTCAGATGGGCAGCCAAACTGGGTCTGGAATTCGCTTCTCAGCCGTGGTCTCCAGGGACCGCTGGTCTCCAGCAGCGAGACGACAGCCCCCTCTTTAAGGTTTCCTGCCAGCGCCTCCTGCGACCGCCTGGGTCTGAAATAAAACCTTTGCAGCTGCTGTGGCATTTCCCCACATCACAGGTCCTGGCCAGCCTCGTCTACTCCGCACGCTCGTCCCTTTTGCATCTGTCTCTGAAACATCCCGGTTTTGTGTTGAGCAAACCTAATGTGGTTTCAACCTCTTAACAGCTCTAGGCTTTGTTTGTGTCCATCAGAGAGAAGTTGGTGCTCTGTCATCAACACACGCTGACATAGGTGAGGGTTCAAGCTGCCTCCATTTTATACTTAAGAGTGTGTGTGCATGTGTGTGCACACGTGTGTGTCTGAGTGTGTGTCTGAGAAAGGGTACCTTCCCCACTTTATCGGTATTTTCTCTTCACATGCATCCACACACACGCACATGCACAGTATACACACACATACGCACAACACACATGTACGCACGTGTGTGCACATACAGATAACACATACACAGGAATGTACACACACACCTTATTGGTCGATATTCTCCCCTCTTGCCAGGCTGGGTAACTCACAGAGATTTCCTCCTGGCAATTTCACTTCCCCCCGGAGGCACCCTGCATTTTGGACTGTACAAAGGCCCTGTACACGGGCTCTCGGTGGGTTTCAATGGTGGATTAACTTCACCAGCAAGGTTGCTGTCAGAACATAAACCAGGACTGAAGTGGGGAGTTTGTGATGGGCCCTGGAGAGGGGTGCTCCTGGAGGCGTTCTCCCCGGCAGCTTGAGGAGCGGCCCCTCCCCCCTGTTTTGCTGTCGATCTCAGATCAGCGTGGGAAAAGGCAACAGAATCATGACTATGATGCAAAAGGAAAACCCGAAGATCCAGAGGCCTTAGATTTGGTGGAAAAAGGACAAGCAGAGAGGTGGATGGGGTGGAACTGAAGCCACTGCTTTCAAGGCTGTGGGCTTGGGATTTGTGCACAAAAGTCTAAGCCGGGGTTTCCAAGAAGCCTCAGCCTCCCCTTTGCCATTGGGGGGTGAAGAACGTGGCCAACTTGTTGGGTCTGGGTGGTTCGCTGAATGAAACCTGGGAAACATTCCAGTTCTCCCTCCGCCCCCCCCCCCAATTCTGTTTTCCTTAACAGTCCTCCACCTGGTCCTGTGGATGTGATCTAAGTATACCTGACCCTCCTGACTCCTTCCACCACCACCACTCAGAGCAAGCTGCTCCCCCCGCCCCTCCTCTGCAGCGGCCTCCCCGCTGGACTGTGGTCCACTCAGAACTGCAGCCGCGTGGTTCCTTCACAAGGCAGGTCTGACCATACTGTCACATCCTTTCCTCACCCTCCTCCCACTTGGAATACTTCATGAGCTCCCTGTCACTTTTAGGATAAAGATCAAAACTCTTAACAGTCCCCATTTAGTTTTGAGTACTTCCAGGCAGCATCCCGCCTCCTTCTCCAGCCTGGGCCTCAGCTCCAGCTTCTCAGTCTCCATGGTCCCTTTGTCCTCCTCTGGGCCCTGGTCCCCCCCACCACCGGGGCACTGCCTAGGGTCTCATTTCCCTTGGTTACCAGCTAGTGGTCCTTCAGCAATGAGCACAATTGACTCCTTCATTCAGCACATATTTACCGAGTTTGTATTCTGCGTTGGGTGTCGTTCTAGGGCAGGGGTGGGCAAACTTTTTGACTCGAGGGCCACAATGGGTTCTTAAACTGGACCGGAGGGCCGGAACAAAAGCATGGATGGAGTGTTTGTGTGAACTAATATAAATTCAAAGTAAACATCATTAAAAAAAAGGGTCCGGTTTTTTTTTTTTTACGGCTGTTCGGGCTGCTAATGGAGCAAGAGGACAGCGTCCCTTCTCTTGTGGGGCTTCTATTCTCTTAGCAAAGAAGCCAATGGGTATGCAGTGTTGTTTCAGGTGGTGATAGGTGAGGGGAGGTTGAGACAGAGAGTGGGGCAGGGCATTAGAAAAGGCGGTGGAAGGAGGGCTACCTCAGGGGGTCAAGGACGTCGTTTCTGAGCAGATGACTTTTGAGCAAGGCCTGAATGAGCTGGGGATGTGAGCCTGGGCATCACAGGTACTGAGGGAAGCCTTGTTTGACAGGATCATTTCTGCTGCCACCCACACAGGGCCATGAACTTCTCAGAATCGTGGATCATAACTGGACATCCTACACATAGCTGTGCAATCTGTGTGATTGGCATTTGTGTGCTGAATAGATTTTTAGCTCCCTGAGGGCATGGACTGTTGTCTTTTGCTCTTTACTTCACATTCATTAATTCCCAGTGCTCTACTTGGCATGTGGTACATAATAGTCATATGCTGAGTGAGTGATGTATTCTGTAAGGGGAATCCCAAGTCCTGGCAATTCTTTCTCACCTCATTCTTGGGGGACCTGTTCTGTTAGGTTGCAGAGCTCAAGGTGTGAACCCCCTCTGAGCACCCTTTCCTTCTGTGGCTGGTGGTTTTGCACCATGAGATAGGGAAGGGGACTTGAGCAGGAGGTAAGGCAAGGACCGGGCAAAGCCATGGGTGGGGCTCTGTGATGTTGGAAAAACCAGCAATGGAATCTCTTATTCCTGAATTAGTTGGCATTGAAATGGACTCATCACCCCCAAGCAGGAAAGTACGCTGTGGCAAATCGCCACCCACTCTGCCACTGTCCTTGTCAGACACCTCGCAGACAGACGAGACTGAAAGAGTGAGTGTTTGTCAGGGGCGTTGTGGGCAGGCCCTATCTTTTTCTCTGACATCGGCAATGATTAGTATCACAGAAGCTGAGTTAGTGAGATCAGATGGGAGACCTGGTCTTGGGGCTCTCGGAACTTTTCAGTTGACATAAGGGAGAAAACAGAATCAGGAACTGTTGGGAGCCTTTTGTTCTCTGAGGGAATACAAGATGCAGAGAGGGAAAAGAGACAGACCCCTCTCAGCATGTGCTCCAAGAGGACACCTGTGTTTTGAGACCCATTGGTACTACTTCTGAGCAGTTACTGTGAGTAGGACACCCACTGGGCCTTTGACACGTGCACCTGCAATATCACACTACTCGAATCTGTTGAAGTGGGAGGCCTAAGACTCACTCCAGATGCACCGTGGCTGGTTTAAAAATAGAAGGGAAGCTTCAGAGGGCATTAGCTTAGACATCTGGAGATGCACAGATACCCCGTGCTCCTGCCTGCAGGGTCGGGGAGGGGGGCGGGGTGATTCCTAACCCCGGCATGGCTGATACATGCAGAATCACCCCTGAGGCCGGAATAATGGGCTAGAACCAAAATCAGAATCTCAAGTTATCAGGGAAAGAAAAGTATAATTTTCTTGTTAATTTAAAAAGTAAACTTGTCAGGGTTTGGAAAGGGGTTGGGGAGCATGAAGAGGGGGAGCACAGAGGATTTTTAGGGCAATGAAACTAGTCTGTATGATGCGTCAATGGTAGAAGCATGTCATTATAGATTTATCAAAACTCCAAGAGTGAACCTTAATGTAAACTACGGACTCTAGATGATAATGATGTATCATTGCAGGTTCATTGACTGTAGAAATGTGTCACTCTGGGGCGAGATTTGATAGTGGGGCAGGTGGTGCGTGTGGGAACTCTGTACTTTCTGCCCAATTTTGCTGTGAACCCAAAACTGTTCTAAAAATAAAGTATATAAAAAATAAATTTATTGAGCACCCACTATGACCCAACATAGAGCTTATACTCCTGTACTTTCCCTTACTTTTCTTTCCTTCCTCTCTTCCCCTGTAGAAATCTACTCTGTTTGTAATGGACTGAACCATGTCCTGCAAATCCTTATATCCTTAGCATGTGACTATATTTGGAGACAGGGTCTTTAAGGAGGTAATTCAGTTAAAATGAGGTCCTTAGAGTGGATATGACTGGTGTCCTTATAGGAGGAGGAGATTGGGGCACAGGCACACACAGAGAGAAGACCAAGCGAGGACACAGGGAGAAGGTGCCATCAACCAGCCAAGGAGAGAGGCTTCAGAAAGAATCTATCTTGCTGACACCTTGACCTTGAACTTTAGTCTCCAAAACTGGGAGAAAATACATTTCTGTTGTTTAAGCCACCCAGGCTAGGGTACTTTGTTATGGCAGATCACCTCTGATCTCTTCTCCTTTGTGATAAGGAACAGAGCAGATGATTAGCACACTGTGGCTCTTGGGCCAAATCTAGCTAGTGACCTGTTTTTGTAATAAAGGTTTATTGGCACGCAGCCAGGCCCATTTGTTCACTTATCGTCTATTGCTGATTTTGTTCTACAAGAGTTGAATAGTTGCGACAAAGACCCCATGCCCATGAAACTGAAAGTATTATCTACTGGCGTCTTACAGAAATGTGTGCTGACCTTGGTCTAGAAGAGTGGTTGGCAGCCTGGGCTGTGGACTCAGTAGGTTTGGGTTCAAATCCCTGCTGTGCTATTGAAAAATTAGGGAAATCACTTAATCCCTCTGAGCCTCATTTTTCTTATCTGTAAAATGGGGATAATAATAGTTACTCCTTCATGGGATTATGATAATCAAATATGATTGTGCATATAAATGACTTAGCACAAGGCTTGGCACAATACTGAGAAAAAAATTTAGTTATTGCTGTAATTAGTAATATTAGCCATTTGGTAGTGGAGTTATCATGCTGAACCGTCCAACCCTGGAGCATTGGTAAATTGGTTTCTTGTCTAACTGGCAACTTTTCTTGAGTAGAAATTAATTGCTTGACAATTTAGGAAACTACGTCAACTTCAACTCTGAATTGTTTGAATAAGTGCTACAAACATAGTCAGCCTTTGTTTTGTTTGTTTGTTTCCTTCTCTCTCTCTTCCTTTTTCTTTTTCCTTGAAGCACAAGCCAAAAAAACAGTCTCCTCTTAGCCCTCTGGGTGGGCCATGTCACACTCCCACAGAGTATTAGCAGAAAGATCTGAAAACCTTCCAAATAAAGGCAGGTGGGTGGAGGGGCCTTGTCCTGCTGGGCGGCTGTGGCAGGCTTTGTCTGAATGGCTCCTCTGTGCTTCGTAGTCCAGATCAGACAGGGTTTTATGAAGAGCTATGTTTAGGTAAATCTTATTTAGAAGCCCAAAGAAAACATGAAAGCTTCAATATCATGTTGACTTAGACCAACAACTGCTACCAGAGCTCAGTCCCCTTTTCTCAGATGTACAGCTCACAGACTTAAAGTGGGTGACTTAAAGCTCTGGTTAGGGGAAGTCAGGTGAGCGTTCAAACACTGACTCCACTTTGGGTTTACCTTGAACAGCTTTTTGAGCTCCAGTTCCCTGATCATACTAGAGGTGAGAATGATAGCGACTTCAGAGTTGGGGTGCAGATAAAGTGGGATGATAGATACCGAAAAGGACCTGGCTTAGTATCAGCCCATAGGGAATCTAATCTAATAAAAGAGAAACATGCAAATTGACCTCACCTTCACTACAACCAAGCCAAGCCCACCAGCCAATCAGAGCGACTATATGCAAATTAACCCAACCAAGATGGCGGCTGGCAGCCACAGAGCTGGAGCAAGCAGGAGGCTTGGTTGCGCCTGTGATGGAGGAAGCCAAGCTTCCTACCTGCCCTGGCTGGCTGTTGCCTCCGCTCAAGGCAACAAAGTTGCAATTATAGAAGATAAATAAATCCCAGATACCTGCTTCCAGCCAGCCTCCACTGGGAGCTTGGGTGGCTTGGGGCCATGGCCAGCCTGAAAACTGCCATCAGCCCTCACCCAGGATGGCCACACTCTTATGGGGTAAGGGTCCCTGCTGGGGGGCTTGGCCAGCCTGCAAAGAGCCATCAGCCACTCACCCAGACTGGCCGGGCACCCCAGCGGGACCGCCACCCCCCACCCTGAAGGGGGTGTGGCCAGCCTGA